GATATAATTTTATTGTATTATATTTTATTGATTAGTATAGAATTACTGACTGAATTATAATCATGTTAAGATAAACATTGTTGCAATAAAACCATAATTATTATAACAGTAACATTTGGTTCACAAATTAAACAAAATTTATATTTTTCTAAAGAAGCTATTTTATAACACATAAATATAACATAAATACAACTAAGAAATCATAACTAATTATAAATAATTCAAAAAGAAATGAAGTTGAGATTTAATGAAATAATAATGGTATTAATATATATTTGATAGTGGAGATATTTGTATTAATGAAGAAATTTGGATTAAAATGTTTAAATGTGATATTACACAATTTTATTTTAATCAGTTTCATCAAATCATTATTCAAGATAATTCTTTCATACTATTGAATTATTTCATAAATATAATAAATATAGTGAAATTAAAATAGAAGATATTTAAATAAATAATATAGTATGAAGTAGAGTATTAAACATAACTAAAAGAGAAAGAGGAATTGAAATAGTAAAAATATTGAATATACCCAATTAAATGGAAATACAATACCAAATGAAATTAAGTTACTTGAATGAGTATGGCTTGAAAATTATATACCATTAACAATTATTGTTATTCCATCTTGTATGAGAGAAATTGGACATGTATCTTTCAATAAATGTAATTCATTAAAATCAATTAAAATACCACCAACAATTAGTAAATTATGATATTATTACTTTGATAAACATTCATCAATAATAGGAATAATTATACCAACGTTAGTTAGTAAAATAGACTACGTATATTCAAAACAATAAATGATTAGAAATTGAGTGTTTTTTTTTCAATCGGTTGAAATGAACTAGTGATTCACCTTTTAAACAAAAAAGAAGCTTTGAAGAAAGGAAAGACTGAGCTTTGAAGTAGTTTTAATTATCATTCAAAAAAATGTAAGAAGAAAAAAAGTTGTTTTGTGTTTTAAATAACAAAAATAATCTTTTTCTCCTTTATTTCAACTTTTTTCAATAAACGAATTTTCTGAGAAGTAGAAAAGAGAAAAACTGAAGATCGGAAAATAATGGAATGAAAAAGTCAAAGACAATCAATATCTCTGAAGATAAAGAAATTCTTGACATTTTAGAATTTAGACCACCTCGTCATATCGATTTAACACAATTCCAACCAAAAATTCAGACTACACAAGACTTAAATGCTAATATTCTCCACTTACTTACTGGTGTTAGAACATCAAAAATAGATAAGTCTGAAATAAAAAAAGGGTGTGTGAGTGAAATTCCTTTACTGTCACACTCAGAAAAAGAACTTAAAAACCCTCAAGAAGAAAAGGAAGAAATTAATGAAAATACTAACCTAATAAGTAAAGAAACTGTTCCGTCTGATTACAGTTTAGTAGACATCTCTTGTATCCCAAAAGAACCCTCTCAGACTTTGTCTATGTTAAAAACAAATAAGAAGAAAGTTAAAGAGAGAAATGGGAATACCAGGTTAGAAATAGGAATGCACACAGCGATAATGCCTTCTTATCTTAGTCATATAAACAATAACAAAAAAACTAAAACAAAGCCATTAATGATTGGAGTTCAACAACTTCTAAAGAAACCTTCAACACCAACAAAAAAGAGACTTACTGAAACAACACATATACAAACAATGAACAGGTTAGAAAAAAGGAAGTCATTAGAAATTAAACATAAGACAAATGAACAAATAAAACGAACTGAACATGTTCTAAAAGAAACACATAAAACAATTGCAGACACTCAATCATTAATAAAAAAGATAGAACGTCAAACCACTACAACAAAAGACATTAAAGATTTTAAAGAACGAAATGCTGCTAATAGAGCAATTAAATTAAGAGCAGAAAAAGTTATTCGTGAAATTGATCGTAAAAGAAAGTCTTTATTAAATAAGACAGAAATAGAAACACGTGCTAAACGGATGACATTACCACAATTACCAAACTATTTGAAACAAGCTATTAAGAAGAAAAAAACAGAGGCTATTAAAAGTAAGTCACTGTAATAATCATTAATCTTTATATAAACTAGAAAATATTAATAAATTATATTAATACTATATTTTTTCTTCTTCATTTTTTAGGTGAAGAAACTAATAAAACCAAAATGCATTCAAATTCAATCCCTATTAATCCAGTCTTCATCATTAATCAACAACGCCTTCAATTGTTTGGAACTCCTCTTAAACAACATCACAAGAGAAAAGTTCCAGAAAATGTATATGAGATATCATTATTTCTTGGGATGTTAAGTAAATGGTGTAATATCACAATCGAACGGTTTAGTAAAAAGAAAGAAATTCCTTATGGATGCCCAAAAATCAGTGGAATTGATTTTGGTGATGGGGTTATTGAATTGGAAAATATAATTAATGAGAAAGTGAAAAATGAAATAAAGCCTATTGACACAAACGGAATAAGAACAAAACTTGGCTATGAAAAGATTAAGTCTTTAAGAATTCAACACACGATTGAATTATTGGAGGATTTACTTTACGAAAAAGGAATTGAAATTTCAAGAAATAAAAAAGGAATTCGATGTGTATATAGGTATGGGAAAGGATTAATTAAAACCGATGACATACATCAGAAAGAAAGGGCAATCCATTCTGCTTTAGTGCATCGGTTTCAGATGGGAATTAAACGATTAGATATCAAACGAGGAGATATTGAACTAGTTCATATTATATACTAATTTTATTTATTATAACTTTTTTCCTTTTAACATTCTTGTCTTTTCATTTAACAAAACAAAATGAATATTGATTGTAATTTCTTAAAATTTGAATCATTTAGATTTAAATCAAGAACAATTACAAATAGTCAATTACTTTTAAGAGTCAAAAAAAAAATAAAATAAAAAAGTTGTCTTTGAAGGAATAAAAAAACAATAAATCTTATTTGATTATTTAGATCAAGAACTTGGAACTTATATTAATTAATTAAAGTTCAAGAAATGAGTGAATGGGTAAAAAAAGAATATGGGGATGTTTTTACATTCACTCATAATGAAAAATATCCTGTTCCAACTTTAAGTGACTTTATGGAATTTAAAAAAACACTTGACGATGATGAAGGATGGACTGTTGACCAAGACAAAAATGGTACTAAGGTGTTGTTCAGAGATGTTTGTTAATAACAGAAGAAATACAAAACCTAAAAAACTAATTTAATAAAGGCTGCAAATGAAAATGTATTACAAATTAAACTTAAGTCAATGGCATTACATGATATTCCTATTGATGTATTACATGATGTAATTCAAGACCCACAATTTAGAACTGAATGGGATGGTTCAATGAAAGAACAACATCTTGTTGAACAAATTGATGAAAATACAGAAATTGGTTACTATAGTGTAAAAATGCCTTTTACAGTAGCTAACCGTGATTGGGTTAATATGAGATCATGGTGGTTCAATGAAGATAAATCTTTGTATATTATTATGAATCATTCAGTAGAACATGATAAAGCACCTGTTGACAAAAATTTTGTTCGTGCTCAAAGTCTTAAAACCGGTTATATTATTGAAAAAACACCAGAGGGAACGAAACTTAGTTTCTTTAGTTGGAACTCATGGAATGGATGGATTCCTACATGGGTTGTTAACAAAGCTACTAAGAGTATGATTGGCCAAGTCATCGTTGACTTAAAAAAGGCTTGTACCAAATATCCAGAATGGAAAAAAAATCATTGTCCTGAAGAAAAGTATTGGATGAGTGAAGGCAAAGTTATTCTCGAATCAAAAAAGAAACAAGAAGAATAAACTATTCAAAAGCGATTTTCAATTGAGTTTTATTTCTTTTCTTTCCATTTCATTATGCAGAAAGATACAAACCCATCAGTCTTTCCTCTGTAAATGTTATATATCTATATCACTAACATCTAATGCTTTTGTGTTAATATAATTTTCTACTACACATTTATCTTTAAAACATTTGTCTACTGACTCTAACGATTTAATTGATGTTTAAATCTACTTGATTTATCTGGTAATTTCTATTAATATAAAGATGTTATGAATGATATATAAAAATGCTTTGATATATAAAAATACAAAACTGTAAAAGAAAGTGAGAGTGGTTTCTCTTTTTTTGTATTATATTATCATTATTCAACTAAATGCTATGACTTGAAAAAGTATTATTTTCAATGGTTTACATAAAATAAAAATAGATGATGTTGTTATTGAAAGAGGCTTTCATTTTTATTCTTCTTGACGTAAATCAAGAAGAAGAACTGTAAATACATTAATTGAATAAATAAATGATGAACAACCAATACACTCCTAACTCAAACATAAATGGTAATTTCCCAAACCAACAATCATTTAATCAGTATTATGGTCAACCCAACCAAATGACACAACCATACAACCCTGTCATTAATCAAAATGAAATAAAAATACCTCCTACTATGTTATACGCTAATCAACCTATTGGATATAGTACATATCCTTTTTATAATCAACAACCAACCCCTTCTCTCCCTCAAAAACCATTAACTTCTTCTAATGACACTTTATTAGCTCCTCCACATGACAACAACTCTATTGCTATTCCTATGACTCAAGAACAAGCACAAACACCAAAAAAGACTTGTCAACAAAAACTCATCACAGCATTTATAACCTCTTTATTTCTTTTCTTCTTCTTGGTTTTCTTTATTACCTTCTTCAGTGTTATGGGAAATATGTTTTTCCTCATGCTTTCAAACTAATTCCTCATTGAATTTGTTTTAATAAACATATTTTTTTATGATTTTTCTGTAATACTCTTTTTAAATACTTAAAAAAGATTTAATACCAACATGTATAACATTAATTGAATTAATTCATAAAACACTTTGTTTTACTTCTCTAAGGTTTGGATAAAAACTAAGTTCTGAGGACATTTCAAAACAACGTTATGCAATTCATATTTTTATTTAAAATAACAAATGGTTTGATTCATTCGTTGAGAATAAAGACAAGTTATTGACAAAGAAAATAACAAAGCAATAAAACCAATTTATCAAGTGATGTAAAACCACTTTCAAGGTTCTAAAGAAAAAAATAAAAATAAATATATTATAAACTAATACCCTAAAAAAAACACAATTTGTTCCTTTATTTGAAAATTATGAACCAAATAAGGATAACTATTCGATTTTATATGCCTCAAAAAACATTGATTCTATTCTAATAAAACATTATTAAGTGTTTCGCAAGCATAGCAAGTACTAATTTCTGTCTTTTTTCATAAGAAATACACAAAAGTATCAAAAGAATGGTCTGAATAC